TATTCAGAGTTCTCCAACAGCATGTAAAGAAAGCACAGCCTTTTCAGTGGTCTACCTATATTAGATTCCTTGCTGTTCTTTGAACACACTGAACTGCTACTGTAACTCCTTCTGCAGGTAATGATTTAATCTCAGATATCCATGGAGGTTCTCCTCCTCACTTTCTTTAGATCTTTCCTTAAATATCACTATATCACAGAGACTTCAGACTACCTTAAAATAGCATCCCACTTTCATTCTCCACCCACTCATCCTGCTTAATATCCCCTTACACTTTTCAACACCCAGTATATTACACATCAATTTTTTCCTTTTTTTAATCCCCTATGCCATTCCCCGTAAAACATAAGGACTTTTAGGGCAGGGAAAGTATGTTTGCCGTCATATTCCTTGTACCTAGAACAACACCTGAGATTTGCTAGATTCTCAAAAAAATATTTAATGAATACTAGATACAAGAAAATATGATAAACAAAATTATTTCAAATGAGTATGTCAAAAAGAAAGAACTATATATACAGTCAACATTAAGTGCGCTTTAATTGCAAGTCAGTTTTGTGGATAAGTTAACATACCAGGTACCTGACTAGACTGACTCTTAAGTGGGAAGAATGATATGAGGATAACCCAAGTTAGCATTCAGTCTGTGATATCAATGAACTAGCATATATACAGTTCTAGAGATATTCCTCTAAATCTTATTCCAATGGATAACAATAATATGAATCACTAAGTGGAAGCTTATCATTCTTCAGCAACAACAAAAAATTATATAAATTTCGGGGTTACAGAAAGGTAAAAATAATAGTTTGTATTTTAAATTATTTCAACTAAAATACACTAATAATTTCCAGATATGGGGAAAATTCCATACACTCTGATTTGCAGAAGTGGAAAAGTAAATAGGGCCATTTATAGACATACATAAACTTTAATAGCAAATATTTCAATCATTGATTTAAATTGTGCATGAGTATTTGCTTTGTCAATTGATTAAATAGTTAAAGAACTTTTATCTGAGCCTTACCTATGTGTCCTGCACCTAAAAATGGAAAGGCATGTCCTCCCCTTAAACCATAGGAAAATGTAAATTAGTACTTTGAAAGAAGCCTGCGGAAATCAATTAATGTAATCCACCACATCAACAGGATAAAGAAGAAAAGCCACAGATGATTTCAATGAATACAGAAAAGCCATTTGACAAAATCCACACCCATTCATTACAAAAACTCTCAGTAAATTAGGCATAGAGAAGAATTTTCTCAACTTGATAAAGAATATCTACAAAAAACTTACAACTAACATTATACTTAACAGTGAAAAACTAAAAGCTCTCCCACTAAGATCAGGAACAAGGCAAGGGTGTTCCCTTTTACCATTGTTTTTCAACTTCATACTGGACATCCTAGCTAATGTAATAAAATAAGAAAATAAAAGGTATACTGCTTGAGAAGAAAGAAATAAAACTGTCTTTATTCATAGATGACATGATCATCTACGTAGAAAATCCGAAAGAAGAAGAACAAGGAAAAGAATTCCTGGAACTGAAAAACAATTATAACAAGGTTGCAGGATATAATGTTAATATACAAAAGTCAATCACTTCCCATATACCAACAATGAACAAGTGGAATTTGAAGTTAAAAACACAATACTATTTACACTAGCATCCAAAAAATAAAATACTTAGGTATAAATCTAACAAAATGAAAATTACAAAACTCTTGAGGAAAGAAGTCAAAGGAAAGTTAAATAAATGGAAAGATACTCCATGTTCATGTTTAGGAGTACTCAATGTTGTCAAGATGTCAGTCTTCCCAACTTGATCTATAGATTCAGTGAAATCGCAGTCAAAATGCCAGCAAGTTATTTTATGAGTATCAACAAAACGATTCTGAAGTTTATATGGAGAGTCAAAAGACCCAGAATAATCAACACAATATTGAAGGAGAAGAAAAAAAAATAGAGCTAACACTACTTGACTTCAAGTTATTATAAAGATACAATAATTAAGAGTGATGTATTGGCAAAAGAATAAACAAACAGATCAATAAAACAGAATAGAGCCCAGAAATAGACCACATAAATACACTCAACTGATCTTTGACAAAGAAAGAAAGGAAATACAATAAAGAAAATGGTGATGGAACAACTGGACATCCACATGCAAAAAATTTAATCTATAAACAGATTTTACACCCTTCACAAAAATTAACTCAAAATGGAACTTTGACCAAAATGTAAGACTCAAAACTCTAATGCTCTTAGAAGATAACATAGGAGAAAATCTAGATGACCTTGGATTTGGTGATGACTTTTTAGGTATGACACCAAAGACATGATCGATGGAAGAAAGAATTGATTAGCTGGGACTTCATTAAAATTAAAAACTTCTGCTCTGTGAAGACACTGTCAGGAGAATAAAAACACAAGCTACAGAGTGGGAGAAAATATTTGCAAAAGACAAATCTGATCAAGGTCTGTTATTCAAAATATTTTTAAAAACTCTTACAACTCAACAATAATTAACCAACCAATTAAAAAATGGGCCAAAGACCTTAACTGACACTTCACAAAGAAAATACATTGATGGCAAATAATCATATGAAAAGATGTTCCTTGTCATGTGTCATCAGGAAAATGCAAAGTTAAACAACGAGATACCACAACACACTTAGAAGGGTCAAAATCCAGAACATTGACAACACCAAATGCTGGTGAGGTTGGGGGACAACAGAAACTCTCATTGATTGCTGCTGGGAACAGAAAGTGGTACAGCTGCTTTGGAAGGAAGTTTGGCTGTTTCAACAAAACAAAACATTCTCTTGCCATATAATCCAGTAATTGTGCTCCTTGGTATTTATCCAAAGGAGTTGAAAACTTATGCCTACACAAAAATCTGTACACAGAAGTTTATAGCAGCTTTATTCTTAATTACCAAAACTTGGAAGCAACCACAATGTCCTTCAGTAGATGAATGGATAAATAAACTATGGTACATCCAGATAATGGAATATTATTCAGCCCTAAAAAGAAATGAGCTATCAAGCCATGATAAAACACAGAGGAAATTTAAATGCATATTACTAAGTGAAAGAAGCCAATTTGGAAAGGCTATATCATGTATGATTTCAACTATACAGTGTTCTAGAAAAGGCAAAACTATGGAGACACTAAAAAGATCAGAGATTTCCAATGATTAGGGGTTAAGAAGGGATGCAGAGGTGGAGCACAGAGGATTTTTGTTTTCACAGAATAGTGAAACTATTCTGCAGGATATATAAATATGATATATATTATCTTATATACATATAAAGTGGGGAAATTTGTTTGAGATTGGAAAATGATGACCAGTAATTTGTGGCTCAGTAATAAAAACAGCACTGAATGATATTAACCATGCATATATGGAATTAGAATTTAATTGATAAGTCATGATAGATTCACCATCTAAACATGTTTTCTTCTTCCTTGGTTACTTTAATAAGGCACTTTGTTTATTAGTACAGACTCAATTGTTTCAAAGCCCCAGTCATTGAAAGAAATAAATGATTATCCCCTTAGTAGCAAAAAAAAGTGCAAGAATCATTTAATGAGTTTGGACTAGAAATTGTAAATTTTTTATATTCCCAAAGTTTAGTTTACCTAATTGCAATTGGTAATTTCTCTTAAATTTTATAATATAAATCAATCATTACACAGCAATCTAACATACAAAGTCCTGATATATCTTAAAATTTTTCCTCAATATTGACCGTATCTTCTTCTAAAACAATCTCCAGCAAGGAATCTGCACTACCTGAAATTATTTTTGATTGAACATGTTTCTTTAAAAAAGCAGCTATATTGGTACATACTTTGGAGACCATAATATATAAAATGGAAAAAATGCTTAAACAGACATGTAAAGTAATACAAAAACAGATTTTGAAAAGTTATGATTTTTTTCCCTTAAAGTTTTGAAAGTCCTAATGGAATTGTTCCTAATCACACAAAAGTGTCACATATGTATTATTTCTTACTTTGAATATCTGTTAAATTTTACCTAAAAACATGACACAATATAGGTTTCTGTCTTTTGGGTTTTTTTTTTTTTGGTCATACACTGTTTTTTTTGAGGTTTTGGTAAATACAATAATCATCAAAATGAACTTGTGAGGGATATTTGGTAAGAAAACCAAATTGACAATTTTCATATTAATATGCCTGCACTATGGCTACAAGTCTACTGAAAGACACTGAATTTAAGTCAGAATATGCACCTTACCAATCTCCTGTCTTATTTACAAAGTGACTTTATAACCACTTTCACTTACTCCTTAATTCAGAAAAGCAGACCACAACCGAACAGTTTAAGTGTTGCATAAATTGGCAACAGTGGAAATCATTTAATCCCAAATTATTATGGCAACATGCATTCCCAGGTAAATTACCTTATGCCAAATTCCACTCATTAATATTTTAGAAGTTCAAGAAGATATCTAGAATAGTACAGGGACAAGCTCACAATAGTACCCTGCAACCTAGAAAGCAAGTTGTCAAAGGCAAGACTATAACTACTGTAGATAAACTAAACGCAATAAGCTAAAAAACAACTTCTATAGTTGATTGATACAGAATGTTATCAGCAATGTTGTTTCATTTGTATTATTACAGAAGGTTTCACAGAGATGAATGGGATATTGAATACCTATAATTCTGCCAAAAACAGACTATTATATAACTCTTATGTGCAAAAATAAACATGTACTTTAGACTCATGGAAATTTCTTAGTAACAGCAACTAATTTAGAATAAATGCCTACATTTATTGAATGAAAGAGGAAAGAGTTCTAAGGAAAAGGAAAAACAAAAAGAGTGCAAAGTGAGAAGAATAAGGAGGATGTCTCTAGCTATAATTTCCATGTTTTAACAAACTTTTTCATCTATAAAACATAGATCCACAACAACATGCCCAAGTAAATGATAAAAAAAAAAAAAAGTATCATTCCTACCTCTCTTTTGTACTGGTTAAAAGGGAGCATCATCTAGGGATGTTTTTCTGTAATCCATTACTCTTTTCTTCCTAGTTTTCTAATTCATGGAGATAAACCTGTGGAGAAACCAGCAAACAAAAATACATTATCCAAATGGCCCCTTTAATTGAGAATCCCTTAGAGATTTTCTATTCTTCAATAGAGAATGTCCAAGTATATTTATATTCTGGCAAGTCACACACAGTACAGCCAATAAGTTTCCATGATTGTTATATTATTATGAAATTCACAGTAATTGAGATTATTTTATAAAAGAGTGATCAACAAATTATAGAGAAAATAAAGGGCATATATTAAACATACTTTTTTAAAAACACTCATTTAGAAACAGTAATTGTAAACTAAAAAGGATTTAAAGTCCCTCTTCATATAATATTAGGAAAGTATATTCTACAATTTAGTATAATTCAATTATTTTCATAAAAGGTATTTTGAATGTGTGTTATGACATGCTAGAGAATGTACAAAGAGCAGCTAAACAGACAAATCTCTTATAAGAGTGCACCTATTAGCATAAACACATATATGAAAATCATGTACAAATATCAAAGCTTTGCTTTAACATTAGTGAGTAGTTTGTGTAGTCAGCAAAAAGGAGTGCACTGTGAGTTACAAGTTCAGGCAAGGCGAAAGGCAGCAAAGTTATTTTCCAGATCCAAGGAAATCTATAACACTTGAAGATTACTTTTTCACAAGATGAATAATTCGTTTGATTTTTGTAATTTCTCCAACACTTCAGAGGATTCGTGGGTCCATATTCCCTCAAGGACATTCTGATTTAGACACTTCACGTTTTTTAGCTCTTTCACAGAAATACACCTGCAGAGAAAATGCCTAAAGGCCTGTTGGAATATACCCATTTTATTTCAATCCATAATGTCATCAAAAGGTTAATTTGAAAAGTGACTTCATTTTAATTGCTTTACATATTAGGGCAACCAATGTTTTGGAGAGTTTTTCTTAGATGACTAATTTATGAAAAATCTTAATTTAAAAATTATGTAAAAGGTAAAACTCAAATGTCTCAATTGTTTTTCTGTACTCTTTTTATGATATTTAAACTTATTAAAATATTATTCACTTATAAAAATGTCAAACAGTACAAGGGTATATTAGGTAAAGCTTACATGTCCTGTTTCACCAGTCCTCAATACATTATTTTCTGTGTATCACAGATAATATTTGAATAACCATCCAGGGCTTTTTTCTATGCAGTTGCAGAGCCTTTTATGCACACAGCCATATGGATATTTTTAAATAAAAATGAGATCATACTATAGAAATTTTTTGTAAATTAAAAAATTCCCTCATGGAACAAAAAATCATGAATATATTATTCTCACATTATCACAAATCTACCTCATTCTTTTTTAAAGGGGGCAGATGTACTAATATTTATCCAAATTTTTCCTAGAGATGGATATATACGTTGCTTCTGAAAATTCCTCTTAAAATATGTTACCTGGATATTCTTATAGAGAAGGAGCTGAGCACATGTACAAACATTTCTTTAGTTTGAATATTTCTAAAAGGGTTGCTAAGCCAAGGTATGCACATTTAAAATTTTGTTATTCATAAACAGACCTTAAAAGAATTTATTGTCTATATTTATTTCAGAAATGTATGAAAATATACATTACCACTCATGTTCAATTGACTAGATATCACCAATCCTTTATTTTTTTCCATTATGAGATGTAAGAAATCGTATTTGTTGACGTGAAACATTTTGCCTTTAATGATTTTCAGTGAGTCCGAACATTTTATATAGGTTTCTATAAGCTATTTATATATAATCGATGATATTTTATTTAGCAAGTGTTTTTCATGTATTTATTCTCAACCTGTATTTTACATTGTACCTTTTATATTTCACCGTGCTGATCTGAAATTTTGCGTTGCAAAACCCACCAATCTTTTGCTTTACAGTTAAAACTTAAGTAGAAATAGAAAGCCTACCTTGTCACTAATTATGAAACAATTTTCTTATATTCCAATCTAGTGTGTGCACATTTTTTCCACATTTAAGTTATTTGAACATCTTCAACTTTTGGTATAGTATTATCCAGGGGGTTAACATTATTTTTTGACCCAAACAGCTAGCTAACTTTTCCAAAAGCATTTATTTAATAGTTTATATTTTGCCTTCTGTTATAATCCCTTTAAAACTCAGTTTTCTTTAGCCTTTGAATCCATCTTAATAATGTATTTATATTTCCTCCTTAATTGTACCCTTATTTTGCCTTAATTTATTAACCAAGCTATAAAAATAAAATGTTTGTCTACAATTAAGTAACACGTAGTAAAGAAAAGACAGGCAGACATAACTACACAATCCATTGTTTTCAATTCAATCCCTGTGATAAAATGTCCAGGAGTTTACCTGGCCTAAAACTAGAATGTGACTTACAGCCAATTATATAAATGCGAGATATTTAAAATAACATAAAATATGTTCAGTCAATATTGCTCTGTAGAACTCTAAAAATAGCTGTTGATATTTTCCAAAAAGTCAGAGTTAATATTTGTCACTACAGGTCTTTAAACAACAAATTTTTAAAGGAAATGGGGAAAGCAAGCCAGCGATCAATTCAATATGCTTGTGCATCCCCCTGCTATGCAGAGATATTCATCATTCAGCAGTGAATAAACTCCTCATCCTGCTTCTACCAGGGGGCATTATTGGGCCTGACAGTGAACATTAAAGGAAAAGCGAATTGCAGCCTAGAGAATTAACAAGAGGAAATGAGACAGAAGGAAAACATTGTTCTAATCATTCTTTGAGTCCTTATAATTATGAAGTTAAATCATTCCTTGAGGGTTATTATGGTGATAGCTATATAATGGAGAGGAGGCTGACGGATTAGGATAAAATATGTTGTGTCTGGGCTTGTATAAAAGGTAAAGTTTTTAAAAAGTAGCAAGAAAATGATTTCTTTTATAGAGAAACATCATTTTGACTTTAGTAATTTAACAGTTGTTTATTAAGAGAAAATTTAGAACTAGAAGCCCTTTCCAAAGCAATTTTGAGGAGATGTGTAGGAAATAGGAACAAACTTATTGTTTTGGTAATTGTTAATGGAATTGGACCCTTGACGATGTATTCTCCAGATGTTTATTACTATTATTTTTATTATTATTGAAATTAAATGCCTTTGGCATTGTTCCTTATATTTAGAGTGGTTTAATCTCATTTTCAAATCCTACAATCACAGTTCCTAAGACTCAGCAGCTAGTTCAGAAAGAAACCAACTTAGTCTTAAAAATAAGTTTAAGATCTCATCCAAATTCTGCCATCATCCCACTCCTTAAACTCATTTGCATATATAAATATTTGTCAACATTTATATTTTTTAAATAACATGGAAGTGAAAGTCACATAACACAAAATTAACCATTTTAGAGCGATTCGGTGGCATTTAGTACATTTATAATGTTGTACAACTACCATCTTTATTTAGTTCCAAAACATTTCATCATTCCAAAGTAAAATCCATTATCCATTAGCCCTCTTCCCCTTTTCCTGGGCAACCACAAATCTGTATTCTGTCTCTATGAACTTACCTATTTCTGGGTATTTCATATACATGGAATCATAAAATACGGGACCTTTTGTGTCAAGTTTTTTCATTTTGGAGGTTCTTCTATATTGTAGCTTATATAAGTACTTCATTGACTTTTATGTCAGAACAATATTCCATTGTGTGTGTGTGTGTGTTATATATATATATATATATATATATACCGCAATTCACTCATCCATTCATTTGTTGATGGACATTGTGCTGTTTCCACCTCTTAGCTCTTGTAAATACTTCTGCTACGAACATATGTGTACATGTACTTGTTTGAATGACTGTTTTCAAAATTCTTTTTGGTATATACCTAGGAGTGGAATTGTAGGGTGATATGATAATTCTATGTTCAACATTTTGAGGAATCACCAAACTCTTTTACACAGAGGCTGAACCCTTCCCACCAGCAATATATGAGGATTCTAATTCTTCCACATTCTCACAAGCATTTGTTGTTTTTTATTCTTTGTTGTTGTTATTGCTCTTTGGTGTGTGTTTTTTTTAATACATACCCTAATTCTTAGTGGGTATGAAATGGTACCTGATTGGGGATTTGACTTGCATTTCTCTAATAACTAATGATGTAGACGATCTTTTCATGTGTTCACTGGCCATTTGTTATGTCTTTGAAGAAATGTCTATCTAATATTTGTATTCATAAGCCCCATGAAATGGAAAATAAAGTTTTAAAATTTAGTTTCTTTAGTTTCTTTGCTGTAATTCTTCAAATGGCCATTCTATTCCTTTATCCTAAGAGCAAAAAAAGGTTCCCACTGTTTTATTTTCCATGATCTTTTATTTCAATTCAGAAGATGTAGGCAAAATGCCTCAGGAACACATAATTTGGAAAGCTGGATAGGCCTCACATATTGAAAAAGCACTCAACTAAGTCTTTGGAGGCTAAGCAGAAAATTGTGTGCACTAAAAATGGTTTTACCCTATATGCCCATGTGGTGAAATGGAGATGTAATGAAAGGAATTTAAGTCATAAGTGAATGGTAACAACAGCTGAGTGACAACAAATGTGGCATAAATCTAGCAAATAGCCTTTTGTTTTCCCTAAATTTTCATTTCCCTAAGGCATGTCTCACTTCACAGTCAGAGCAGAACACTGGAAAAGCAAATCTTGGTTGAGGTCCACCCCCACATATTCCTAGAAACTTAATACTTACTAGATACATGAAGTTTCTTTCCATTAATGAAGTAAATACATTAAACATATATTAAGTCACAACACAGGTCTAAAATGCCTATCAATATAACAAGGAGAAGCCCTTTCTAATGTCTCTTTTCCTCCAAAATTCTATTTCTATTATCTGAAAACATCCTGGCTTCCAAGTTGACTTAATGACTCTTCTAAAGAAACAATCTTATTGGTTTTTAAAATAACCTTTAATTGACTTGTTATTTTTCCTTACTAAAAATGTAGTTACACTTACTAGCCTAGATAACAAAGAAGCTTTTAGAATTTCAGTTCATCC